GTTTTATTACGTTGCTTATGTTTAGTTATGTTTTATTCTGTTTTATTTTATCTTTTCACCATTTTTATACTGTTAATGATTGTACAGCACCTTGTGAATATATTTCTGTGAAAGGCGCTTTATAAATAAAACTTTACTTACTTACTTACTAAATCACTCTCCCTGTTAAAGTTGTTTTATTACTGTTGACAATCTTACAAGAAGAATGTGTCACAACAAGGAAAACTAGCTTTTTTATTGTTTCCAGTAGTCAGTAAGCCCAGGAGTAAATGAACAAAAAGTAGTCATTAAAGCTCTTTTTTATTCTGTATAGTCAATGGGAAAATCACCCAACCCATTTCAGCAACTTTTAAAAACACAAATTTTACTTTACAAGTACTGTTATCCAGATTTTGTCCATTTCCACATCAAAATCTAAAAACTACTTCATTAAAATTCTACACTTTCTACCTCTTTARGGACCCTGTTGTGCATTTTGAGTGACATGTATGTAAAAAAATACAAAAAATTGTTCATTTTTGACATTTAAGACCATCTCTGTCTTCTGACAAGACTTACACACAAACTGAAGCACAGACAACAGTAACTTTAACTTTCTACACTAGAATGATTTCTATGGTTTTTCCATTAGGTTTTGAAATATTAGTCTATATACAGTACACACAAGKTTTAGGTACAAGGGGGTCAGTCCAAAATGAGTAATATAATGCAAGTAGTAAGCCCTAACACCTGAAAAAAGTGCACAAATGTGTCTAATTAGCTTTAGTAAAACCAGGACAGCTGTTTAACTCACCGACGTCCACATCAGTGAGGATCCTGTCGATGAACTGGCAGAGGATCTGTCGAGGTTTCTGCACCRCCGAGTCGTATTCAGCAGCACTGGCACTGAAATTATGAAGTGTTACAACTTAATACGGTGTTAAATCTGCTAAAAAATGGGAGACATTTTTATCTGCTTCGGTGGAAGCGTATTAAACAGTGAATGTATGTTTACTGAAAAGCCRCTTAGCTTTAGCCGACTCACCTAGCTAGCTCCTGAAGAGCCGGTATCATTGCAGACATTTCCAGCCCGTCCATTTTTAACTTCTACTTATTTGTGCTGCTGTTTAACACTTCTTCAATGCAGTACCAGCAAAACAGCTCAGGTAATTTCGACCTGGTTGTCTCCAGGGGYGTCACATCGTGTCTCGTGCAGTTTCGAAAAGTTTCGCTCCACGATGACGTTTTTTGTTTCCATACGGCAAGCACCGAGGCTCAAACCGCTCAAAAAGTCAAAGCGCTTTCTAAAAATAACGTAGTTTTGTGTTATTTTATGGTTAAAAAGAAAAAAGTTAGCATATTTACATAAATGTCGTCTACTTATACATAAGCAGAGGAAAAGGGAAAACGAGCTAAATAAATCAGGCAAATTTAAACTGATTTATGTGATTTTCTATAACTTTTTTAAACATTTTAAGTGGTTTTTATCACTTAAAAATGTGGTTTACACTGTTCATTTACTTGAGAAACTTTGGAAAAGATATACTTTAGCTGAATTGAATTGAATGATAATTTATTGATCACATGAAGGGAAATTACAGTTCGGAACAACCTGTTCAAGAGTTTTACTACATCATACTTTTAATTTTACTTGAGTAATATCATTATGATGTAGCGCTACTCTTACTTGTGTAAAATTTTTGATGTCTCTACCCATTGTAAAGTAACTTCACTGAATGACCAGAGATACATCCACAGTTTAATGATGAAGTGAGACCTTGTGTTTGTACACAAGCTTTGTTGTTCTAATTATATTTTTTAACTGCTGAGACATTTGGAGGTAAAGTGAATATATGGTAAACAGTACATATAGTCATTGGAAGTATTTTACCCTGTTCTAGTTTCATAAGTTTCATAATGAAAAAAAACTTGGAAAAGAGTTTCTTCTGCTGGAATTTGCTATTGTCTTGTTCATTTTTATTAATTTTCTTCATTTTATGTCTTTATAAGCACTAGAATTTTCACATAACTTTCTATTTTTTGTCCATCTGATGGCATCATTTTAAAAATTTAAATCAAATGATATTGTCAGTTACACTCTTAAAGGTTAATACCTATTCTTACTTAAATTAAGTTTGTGTGCTGTACTCAAGTTTCACTATACTGTTGATTTAACTCAAGCAATGTGAGTAATGAACATGTTTAGGCTGAAAGAGGTACATGAATAAGTTCTGTTGAGTAAACTGGACTTGAATATTTTTGTTACTGGGGTGAATGCTTGAGTTCAGCTTCCACACTCCTTTCCAGTAGGTGGTGGTAATGCACCTAATAGTTGTTTGGCAACTGCCACAAAAAAAAGAAGAAGAAGTTTTTTTTTAACAAAACATTTATTTACAGTAGTTTAACAATAAACTGTACATAATCAGGTCAATGAAAACCAAATAAAACGATAAATATTTTGTGGTGTTAATGAGATGTATGGGGAAAAACTACAAATGGCCACCTGTGATGACATCACGGGGCACGTCAGGCTTGGGA